GAGGTCAGTCCCAGTATTGATATAGTGTCTGGCTTCCTCCTCTTCTCTGCAAAGACATCCTTTTGCTACACAGTAAATCAAGCTTAGAACAATTATTATGCAGAAGCAGCAGGGTGCAAATGATTTTCAATGGAAACAGGACTATGAAGGTGGCACGGTGGGCAGCAATCAATGAAGTGGTTGTTAAACATTTTATACCTGGAAAAGCTTGTTTGGATTTTTGGATGATAACAGCCATTGATGCCGTATTAGTTGCTATGAAAGTCTACAATTTGAGACATATCATGCAAAATCTATTGTTTCTTTTAGCCCCTCTCTCTGGTCTCTCTCTGGTCTCTCTCTGGTCTCTCTGATCTCTCTCTGATCGGTCTCTGGTTTTTCTCTCTCTCTCTGATTTCTTTCTGGTCTCTCTCCGGTCTCTCTCTGGTCTCTCTCTGGTCTCCATTCTTTGTCTGTGATGTTGCTGAACCACGCAGTCACAGAACCAACAAGCAAACTTTCAATTATGCAGCGATACAGAATTGTTTAACCTTTTATACTATTACATATCATATATTTTCTACTGAAGGTATAATTTCACATTCTATAATATGAAACGAGAAAGAAAGAACTCTCATTAGTATGTTTTTGTTCTTATTTCTTCTATAGTGTGGACCTCACATTGAGTTTTTGTTGCTTTTGAGCAGAGACTGAGGCACTGTAGTCCCTATATCCATCCTTGTTTATTTCCCACAAAGTCTAATTGCGCGCTGCTGGTTGGATATTGACTCTCCAAAGATGAAAATCCTCTCTCTCCCTAAAGAGGTCCAGCGTGCGGTCTCCTCTGGACATTGTTTACTTTGCATTCAGCCTGAAGCGTTAGCGCCACATGCTGCTAATCGCTGCCTTGCATCCATCAAACGTAATTACAGTGTTCGGGCGAATGGTCACATCTCTCCACAGTCGATGAACAAAGAAACAAGACTGAGACTGGACTGGACCAAAGATGGGAATAATGGGATGGTTGATAACCGGTGTGAAGATAAGATGGTTCAAAAACAATGTGTGCTCATAACATTGTTCTCAGTTGGCTTTGGGACCTCCTGGAAATAGTTGGAGGACATGGATAGGACTGGACTGGATTGGCCTCTCTCCTCAGACTGCTTCCCTGACCCAGCAACAGATAAAGCTGAAGAAAATGGAAAGATAATACTGGTCATACTGTATATAATACGGTTTTCTTTGTCATGGAAAATTTGTGACCATTTAATTGTAAGGCCCTGGAAAATATTCGGCTTTGCTTTTGATTCAGAATTTTCCCACACAAAAAATCTCTAAATAAGGATTCAACTTTTGCTCATTTAATATTTTTTCTTGTTTTGTTTTTTGTGTGCTTTTTTTGCGTATTTTTTCCATCTTTTTGATTTTTTGTGTGTATTTTTTCTCTTATTATTTGTTTACAAAAAAAAATTGTATGTAATCTTTTTCTTTGCATTATAATTGTTTAAACCGGGTCTAAACTCCAGTTCATTTAGATTTGACCCCAGACTAAGCCGGGTCTAAACTCCAGTTGTTTTAGATTTGAACTCGGACTAAACCAGGTCTGCAGCCCAGGCTTAAATCCACATTGTCCTTGGTCTGCAACACTGTGTCTCGGTGACAGTAGCAGCCGATCCCCGAGTGGCTAATCGCTGAGTCGTGTTGGGAAAAGCTAATTACAGCTTAAAGATCCGCTCTCCCTCCCACTCCGCTGACATTACGACCTGCCCCGTTCAGCGCCAGGCTTTTGTAGTCACCAAGACCGCTGCGGATTCTCCTCTCATTTATAACCGTCATTAAAAAGCATTCAAATCCAGAGGTGGCCCGCACAGACGCTAATGACTTTGATTATAGCCGTGGCAGACTCGAGCAGCACCAGACAGAGAGAGGTTTGGCTGCTACAGCATCTGAAACTCTGCCCAGAACCAACTCTACGTGATTCTCTGCGAAAGAGTCATTAAGCAAGTTTGGATATGTGTTTTGGAAAAGTGGAGAATGAGGTTTTTATGGCTCAGTTTGTGATTTTGGGAGTTTACAGCAGATGAGGTGGAGGCTTGGAGGAGAAATATTGAATTGTATTGTTGAGTTGGTGAGGGAATAATGCATTGGTTTCATATTTAGTGCTTTTGGGGACACTCTGAGACTCATTAGTTTTTCTGGAACTAGAACGCAGTTGTTGCTTGAAAGTTGCAGCCACATCCGCCCTGGGGCAGAGATATGCACCGCTCCTAAAGAGATAAGACAATTGGACAAAACTAGAGCAGGCGTTTACATACAGAATTAAACTGGAAATACATAAATATTCTCAATTTCTTACTCTATTCTCATTCATATAAGGTAGACAAAGACAGTTTTATTACATACAGTGGTTTGAAGATTAGGTACCCCAGCTTTAATTACACAACTTAAGTTCCAAGGACAACTTTAGTTTAAAATACACGATAAATACAAGAATCTACATCTATCTTTTGGATATCTACAAAAAGCTTCAATCTGGTGTCCTTACAGAAACTGCTGCTCAGTAATCCACACTTTCCCATTAAAATAAAGACGTAAATAAAAGTAAGTAGTAGTAATGTTTATTTATATAGTGCATTTTACAGACCAAGGTCACCCGAAGCGCTTTACAATGTTCAGAGTTCAGTTATTGTTCCAATCATTCCACACACGGTGATGACAGAAGCGAGTCGCCGAACTCATCAGCCCCCAATCAAAACCATCCATTCACTCTCTCATTTACATTCAGACCTATTGTGCATGTTTTTAGTGGTAGGGGAAACCGGAGCACCCGGAGGAAACCTACTCAGACACGGGGAGAACATGCAAACTCCACCCAGAAAGGCCCCGTTCCGACCGGGATTCGAACCCAGAACCTTCTTGCTGAGAAGCGAGAGTGCTATCTGGTCTTTATACATCTGTAATTCACTCAAGAATATTAACAAGTCAGTACCTCTGGGTTCAAACATTCTCGGTGATGAAAGTACAAATAGGTCGTGGTTGTAAAGTCTCCAGTGAGAATACGGCGTGAAACATTATTAACAAAGTCCCAAAAAGTAATTAATTGAGTGGAACTGTTCTGACAAATCACTTTGGATGTTGAGAAACAATTTGCGGTCTCGTTCTGGCGCCCGCGGAGCCGCCGTCTTCTCGCCGCCGCCTTTGTGCCTCTATCAAAGCTGCAACATCTTCATTTCACGCTCGCAGCATTTCTCCGGCGTCTTTCTGGTCCGTGCACCGCGTAATCACCGCGTTCCGGCCGCGTCGAGGTTGGTGTGTGTTTTTCCGGCGTGCGCTGAGGACGACGTGTGCGTAATTGAGAAGGAAGGAGACTCCAGCTGTGCGCTAAATGACTGTGTCGAGGAGAGGAATTATGAATTAATGTGTGTCTGTGTGTGTGTCTCTCTCTCTCTGTGTGTGTGTGTGTGTGTGTGTACGTGTGTCTCTGTGTGTGTGTGTGCGTGTGTCTCTCTCTGTGCGTGTGTGTGTCTCTCTGTGTGTGTGTGTCTCTTAGTTTGTGGGTGTCTCCAACTCTCTATGTCTTTCTGTGTGTGTGTCTCTCTCTCTCTCGGTGTGCGTGCGTGTGTGTGTGTCTCTCTGTGTGTGGGTGTCTCTCTGACTCTGTATGTCTTTCTCTGTTTGGGTGTCTGTTTGTGTGTAAGTGTGTGCGTGTGTGTTTGTGTCTATGTTTCTGTGTGTATGTCTCTGTCTCTTTGTATGTGTGTGTGTGTGTTGTGTCTCTGCGTGTGTGTGTCTCTGCGTGCGTTTGTGTGTGTCTCTGCGTGTGTGTTGTGTCTGTCTCTTGCTCTCTGTGTGAGTGTTCTTGTGTGTGTCTGTTTCTCCGGTTTTCCCTACCACTAAAAACATGTCCAATACCTCTGAATCTAATGAGTGAGTGGATGGTGTTGGAGAGAATGGAAAAATATCTGAACTCTCACCAATTGTAAAGCGCTTTGGGTGACCTTGGTCTGTAAGATGCGGTATATAAATAAACATTACTTTCTTCTTACTACAAAACAAGAGAGAAACATTACAATCATTAATAATCACAGTACATTCAAAACGGTGAAGCTACAATCCTTCAGTTGCCTGCAGATAATTATTTTTTTTATCATGTTTTTGTATTTCCTGACTTCTTAAATGCAACTATCAGTGTGAAAGTCCCTGCACGTTGCCTTTGAAGTGGAACCATCCACTTCAAATGCACGATGTTAAAAACAGAACGGAAAGGTCGGGAGTTCCACCAGAGCTATTATCAACACTTTACCGGGTTTTTAAAGTTCTAAGTCGTGGTCCCATTACCTCACCTCAGCTCCAGTGTCTCCTCTCTGACCCCGAACCAGGACCTGTCTGTCTGAACCTTAACACTGTGGTTTGTGGCTTGGTTTTTCTCACTGTTTCTGCTGCTGCTGCTGTGTGTGACTCGCCCCTCCACAGAGCTGACTCATGCATGCGGCAGCTGCTGGTGCATAACGCTGAAGATCCTGGAGTGGAACTAACACGAAAACCTTTCCTCTTTAACCAATGACTTGTCAAAAAATGCTCCTTTGCAGATCACAGTGGTGGAAGATGACAAAAGTACTAGAAATTGTGTGACTGCTTCTACCTTCAACAAATACAAAGTGCTATAATAGTCTGAAAATGATAACATAAGATAATAACATATGTACATGGCAGCTTCATTACACCACAATACTTTGGATTTAAATGTCGGAATGAGCAGAAGACTTGTTTCAGATACTTAAACATGAAATTCTAAAGTAAATATTTTGACACTCAAGTACCGCATAAAACGTATAACAAACTGAGTTCTTCTTCCACCACTGTCTCCCTGCTCCGTCATGTGACCTGCTGATAATTCTTCCAGCCCTTTTGCTGTTTTCTCTGTTTTCGTTGGTGATAACTGCCTCTTGTCTCTGTTTCTACGGTGTGGTGTTTTCTGGGTGTTTTGTGACTCCTCTCCCTCTGTCTCTGGCCTCCCACAGCCCGGGAGACTCAGACACAGACTCTGAGGTGGAGGACCGCGTGGATGGGGTCAAGTCCTGGCTCTCCAAAAACAAAAACTCAGCCAAAAACCTCTCGGACGACGGCAGCAGTCTCAAGAGCTCCAGGTTAGTAGCAAAGACACTGGACACTGGGAGGGACCGCGGCTACAGGTTTGGAGGTAAAAGACATGATGCGTGAATGGATAGGTGCGGATGAATTTGCCATTGGTACCAGTGGAAAAAGCACATTCTTATAAAAGCCTCATTCTCACTGAGCAAAAACACTGACATTTTGACCAAAACCCTCCAGGAAGACCCCTTGCACTGAGCAACATGGGCTGGTGTGTCAGAACGACCCGGCATTTAACCCGCCTTGCGACCTAGTCTCTTTGCTGAACACACCGTCCAAATATATCGGCAATTTAGACACAATAAAACTGTTTTATAGTCCATTGCTTACATGTGGGTCAGGGGAAGAAGGCTATAAAAGTATAAAGATAATACTTATCATAGAGTGGTTTGCATCATGACAGCGTAACGAGCCGTGGAGCTGTGTTGGAGTGAGTGAAGCTCACCCTGAGAGGCGCATGCTCTTCCCTTTATAAAGTTGTATTTCCAAAATATGTGTAAAAAAATATATTTTGCTTCATGTGGATGAGAAACTTGTCATAGTCTGTTATAATGAGATTACCGCTGGTCTTTTTATCTGGTCTCGCTTGTCTCCCACTAATCCCTCTCTGTCTTTTCTCTCTCATCCCCCTCTCTATGATCTCTCTCTGGTTTCTCTCTCTTATCCCTCTCTCTGGTCTCTCTCTTATCCCTCTCTCTGGTCTCTCTCTCTCTATGATCTCTCTTGTTTCTCTCTGGTCTCCCCCTGCTCCTGGCTGGATCGCGCTGTGACTTTCAAAGACTTATTTTGAAAGTCAGTTTATTTTGACACGTTCCTGTCTTCCCTGTGGTCTTCCCTACGCCTACACAGATCCAAACAACACTCCAACCATTCCCGCTGTTGTCCCACTCCCTCTCAGCATTTCAACACATATCGAGTGTGAGAAACAGCCTTATGATTCAGGAATTGGCTCCTACTAGCTTATGTTCAAACCGGCCTCTTTCCCATTGACTACACAACACATTCCGAAAACACAGTCTGTGATCTACAACTATTTTTGCTTGACTAAATGGTATAGTCTCTTTAAATAGGCACGACAAAGTTATCACTGCAGTAATATCCTCATATGTTTTACGAAATGACTTAACCATTCAGTCATTTACAGCCTCACTGGCATCTCTGTATAAAAAGTCTGTGGCGCAGGCATCAGCAGTGCTGTCACGACCCATTTTCAAGCCTAATTTATTTCCGTTAGTCTATGTAGATATTCCTCCCACCCCCTAGTCATCGCCAATCACATTCAAACCACTTCCCAAGTATTCAGCCTCGGCCCTCAATCCTCCGAATCTGCAAACACAATCTCTCGGCAGTAAATAAAGTCCTCTCAGCAGCGCGCCCATCCAGAACAGAGAGCTTGTTTGTCCAGGGCATCCACTGCTACTTTATCTTTATTGTTCTTTTTTTTTTCCCTCCCCAAAAAAAAAGGGCCAGCCAGCTCTGTGTTAGATTTATCGACGTGCCCAGCGGCGGCTTGGCACCAGCGGCCTCACCGATTAATGGATATGTCTGTGGCGTGGCGGTTCGATTGGCCCACTTTCCCCTCCTCCTCCTTATGTAACGCCTCATTTCTGCCCCCTGCTCTCTCTCTCTCTTTTTCTCTCTTTCGCGCTCTCTCTCTCTCTGGTCTCTCTCTCCCGTCTCACTTCTGGAGCACAGGTGGGAGATGTATCACCCGCCAAACATAATAGTCCCAGGATTTAGGCTTTTGGAGATGAAAGCAAGGTATATTGTGGGTATTTCTGTGGATTTTTTGAACCAAATATGTCGCTGTGAGATTGTGGACATGATGAGGTGGGAGTGAGTCACTAAATACTAAAATCTAAGTTTTTATGTTGTTAAAGGTCAAGTCACAGCTTGGCCATCACACACAGGCTTGTTTTAAACGTGTATTACTTATTTAGACACAGCTGAAGACTTTAACATTTGGTGGATCACTTTTTGATTCATTATATCTTCTTGAAATTAAATCTACCTTTTCACCCTAAACTAGATCTCTTGTGTGTCTCTGTCTGATCTCTCTCTTGTCTCTCTCGCTTCTCCCTGGTCTCTCTCTTGCCTCTCTCTGGTCTCTCTCTCTCACTGGTCTCCCTCGTCTCTCTCTGGTCTCTCTGGTCGGTCTCTGGTCTTTCTCTTGCCTCTCTCTGGTCTCTCTATCTTGTCTCTCTCTCTCTCTCTGATTTCCCTCTCTTCTCCCCTTTCTCCTGCCTCTCTCTGGTCTTTCCCTTGTCCCTTTGGTCGCTCTCTCTCTAGTCTCACTCACTGTTCTCTCTCTCTCTCCCTAAATTAGGGTCAAAAAGATCCAAAAAAAAACACATTAAAACAAATGATTTTATACATACTAGAAAATAAAAATGAAAAAATCTAAATGTACATTGATTTCTTCAAGGAGCAAACATTAAAGGGTTAAAGCTACATCTAAATTTCTGGTCCAAACTGAGCCTTCTGCTGCTCACTGCTGCCTGTAATGGAAAAGTGGCTGATGCGCTGGTGCGGCAAAGGAACAGACCAAGCAAAAAAGAAGCACTCGGTTAAGTAAATGGCTGTACATGACTCTGGGAGGAGGACAAGATTGGATTTTAAAAGGGCAAAGTTAATTTAGAATGGAGTGTTATGTTGTTAATGGTTTGGTTAACTGTAGGATGGGAGTAGTGTGCCGAGTGGAGCTGTGCAAACTGTGATCTCAATTACTCGTTTCCCTGTACATTCAAGAGCTTGAGGAGTGGATTTTTGCTCAATAATCAGTTGAATGATGTCAGAAAGTGCCCGATAGAGCCACATGTGTCTACTGTCACTTTGTCCCATATCCTGATGTTGCTTAAATGTACATGTTGGCGATGTGCTGAGAACTCACCTTTCAGTCTATCCAGAGAATAATGTCTTGTCTGTAATAAGGTCCTGTGTTCATGTTCAGGGATCATGTTTTTGCACTACCATCCTAAGTGTTAATGTTATAGCAGACCATAATAATACCATCATTTTCCTCCATTTTCATAATATATTGCAGAATCGAATCGCAACACTTGGGGTTTCGTAATATGTTAAGAATCCCAATAAGGAATTGTGGCCAAAATATTGTAATACTATCGAACATTTTTGCCAATTTCCACCCCTAGAAACTAAGAATGGACTGCACTATGTACTTTTAAATGTTCTATTACTGGATCCCCAAGGAGAATATTGGCAACATGCTGCAGCTAATGGGGTCTGAAATATCAAACAAAAAACTTTGCCTTTTCTACTTTCAGACATCATCCAGAAATGTATGATTGTTTTTCTGTTCTAGTCTTTCAATTTCAATGTCTTTGCCTCATGATTTCATTGCTTTTCTACCATTCTCGCCTTCCCTTCCCATGCTCCCTACAATCTTCCTTTATCATTTCTCCCCTTTCTCTTCATCATCCTTTGTTTGTTTTCCTACTTCTTCATCTCTAGATTTGCCGCAAACGTAGACGCTAAAGACTGGAAAGACGGTAAGGATTGGAAGGAGGCCAACAAGGAGGGAAAAGACCTCGAAACTGCAAACCCTCGCTCCGTTTCGGTCATGAGTTCGCTGAGCTACCGCAAAAGGACCACCGTGGATTCGAAAGGAGAGGCTCTGTTTAGCGCTCTCAAAGAAAACGCAGAAGACGACTCGCTTTCCTACAAATCAAAGTCTAAAAGTTTTGATCTAGACGATGACTGCTATTCAGTCAGTTCAAGAAGGAAGTCCCAAGTCCCTGATGACGCCCAGTCTGTGATCTCTCAGGCGTATTCAGAAGCTAATAGCCGCGCAAGAAAGGGAATGGACAGCAGATGGGGCGATTTCGACAAAGAATCAACCATTTCGTACAACGGCCCCAGTCGTGCATCAACGCGTGCAGGTTTCAGTCCCGAAGATGACGCAAAATCAACGATAAGCTTGGGTTTGTCGAGTCCGTTGGGGCGTCGGAAAAGCACTTCGAGACTAGACGATGGAAAAATCAGCCCTTGTTATAGCAGGAGGTCTTTAGCCCGTAGCCCTGGTAGCGTGAGCCGAGCCGATTCGCTAGGCCGCAGCTGCAGATTGAGCGAATTCGATGTGGATTTCGATGACGGCAAAAGCACGGCGTACACGGAAAGATCCAGCCTCAGCCCGGTGTCTGCCAGCGGACGTAGTGTTTCTATGCCACCACCTCAAGGGAGATCGTCGATGCTAGAAAACGCCAGCGAGACCATGGATATCAAAACCGTGAGTCATCGCAACTACCTAGATCCGGATTTGGAAAAGGCAATCAACGAAGTGCTGAGTTTCAAACCGATAACTTTCAAGAGACGGAGTTTGGAAGATTCAGAAGAGGACAAGACGAAAGACGATGACGATACAAAGAGCGCCAATGTACAATCACGACCGAAAAGTAGTTTGCGGAGGTCTGCTTCTGCTGTAGACTGTCTCAGGGCGACTCGTAGCTCCAGTAGTGCGAGTAGCCACCGACGAAGTAAAAGCAAAAATAAGGGAAAGAAGAAAAAGCGTAGTAGCTCAGAGTCGGAGAGCTCGGATGACGGACGCAGGAGCAGTTCCAAGAAAAAGTCTTCGAAGAAATCCAAGAAAAAGTCAAAGAAACGCGACGTGTCTTCCTCATCTTCCTCGTCCTCGTCAAGTTCGTCCGATTCTGAATCTGATTCCAGCTCCGGCGCGTCCACAATCTCCTACCGAAGCGCGAGTAGCATCAAAAAGGCGCCACATCGTAAATCGTCGAGCCCAGAAGAGGAGCTAGCGGACGGAAGGGAAGGGAGTGAGTCACCGGCGCCGCAGTTGAACAAAAAGGACGAAAAGAAGAGGAAGAAAAGAGTGGACAACCTCATGATGAAGTATCTGTACAGACCGGACAGCGAATGAGGCAGTAGGTGGCGCTGTTCAGCAAAGCATGGTGTGGACCAGAAGAGTGGGAGTTTCAACGACTTGAGATGCTAACGTTTGCATGAACACGTGTGTCCAAGAGCTCATTCTAACACGTTGGTGCTGAAAGAGTCTTATTATTTTGATTTGAACTTTATTACATGAAATTTGCATGGATTCTCTTCCTACAGATTGCCTTTGACTTTGATTGCCTTAACCAAAAATGTGATGTTGACAAGTTTTGTACAACTAGGTTTTGAAGTATCAAGGCGACTTTACGAAGTTACTTCAGATTTTAAGACACAAATAAGACCAGTTGACATGGTTTAGAGTCTGTATATAGAGCAACCACAATAATTATGAACATTCTGTGTTTGAGTTTGTTACCATGCAAAACAGAACTGAAGTAGTTATATTGGTCCCAGTCAAATATAATAAATATTAAATCCAATAAATATCCAATTGAGGGATTTTGGATATTGGGAATAGCACATCCCCCACCCCTTCTGTCTAATTCAGGCAAGCCCAAATTGAATTGAAATATATCATAGAAGTAATTATTCAGTTCATTTTTTTTTTAGAACGTTACCCCCACCATAAACAAGGGACACTGAATTCAGAATATCTCTTTCAGTGGAGCTCCTCTCTGTCTCCAGACAGAGAGGAGCTATTATTTGTTTTTAATGGCAGGACAAGCCGGAGCACCTGGAGGAAAACTGAGCTGTTAATCAATTCCTCCAGTCAAACAACGTTCTTTATAACTAGCATGTCTTCAATTACACAAATGCTATTTCTATCAGCCTCCAAAGCCTGTAATATTGTAACCACTCTCAAATCAGAACACAAACTTGTCATTTACCACTGAACTTGCCAGAATCTTTGCCGCAAGTGTGAACCTTTTTGACATTCTTTTACCTCTCTCTGCCGCAGCCCAACCAGCGGACGGCGGTTCCTGTTCGACCGCTCCGACGACGAAGAGGAGGAAGAGGAGAAGGAGGCGGGATCACATTATTCCAGATACAAATACAGCAGCTATCTGAAGGAGGAGGACGAGGACCGCGAGGAAGCAACCGCGTAGCAACCGGACGCGGCAACAACACTGAACTCTCACCGTAAAAAAACAAAATGGACATCGTCACGACCGTCTCCTCGCTGCATGAAGTCTCAGCGGAAAACGCCTCTCGGGGAATTGACAAAAAGATGACTAATTTATATTTCTGTTTGTTGTACGCACCGTTGCTCCGACTTTTGTTTTGAACTGTTAAAAACACAGGAAAGAGAAGGATCTTTGGTTGCGCAGTGGCTACTTGCTAATACATGTTAAAGGAGACATAACATGAAAAATCCACTTATCACAGCTTTTGACTGTGTTATAGTTGTCATTCACACACTCACAGTTGATTATAAAAGCTATTCATGCCTGATTTTAAATTTGTTTTTGCATATTTGGCAATCAAAAGCAAGGGGTTCCAAAGAGGGAGGGAACAGGAGAGGGCACAGAGGACACCCCTGCCTCGTGCCTCTGACAAAATCAACTTTTCTCCATTTTCTACCTTAATAATTCTTTCCATTTATTTTCTCCTACACTCAAGATGCCATTGCTCTGTCTCCTCTGACCACTGCGACAGAGCTACTGTCTATACTATAGTAATTAAATAAGCACACAGTATGACAATTGTACATAAGACGCATTGGACAAGAGACGAACGCTGGAGACAAAGTCAAGTCCAAAAACGGCAGCTTAATTTGAGTTTGTAAGAGTAAGTTAAAATACTAACAATGAATGTAATTCTTAGTTGAATCATGATGCACAGACAGTTTGGCGTGGTTTCAAAATTTGCCGATTTGAGAACTTAATCTCTGAGTCGGGCCAAGTTTCTGCTCTTGTTAAATCATTGACTCTATATAGATGGGCAATGTTAACCCGCTAGCTCAATGAAACCCAAATGGGAAGTGCTCATGAACAAAGTTTTGCCCTGGCTCCTATTGACATAAATTGAAAAGTAAACTCCTCTCTATAATCTTAGTGTTTGTATATTAATATTGTCTTTGTTAATCCAAATATGAGGTAAGAACTACTGGATCAGATGGGGAAACATTAGCTTGCCTTAGCACCCATGTTAGCAAGACATCTACCCTTGTTACGCCACAACGCTAACCCTGTCAGTTCAAATGCCCATATAAGGAAATTGCCTCCAGCTAGCTTATGCTCAAATCGGCTTCTTCCGCACTAAGGCTAACACTATGGTGACGTCAGATCTCAAATGCACTCTGTAAATAGCAAAGAGAAATATGCTATGTCTTCTTTAACGGCATGAAGTCACTGTTTGACCAAATATCTAAAGATTATCTCAAATTTTAGGTTTGCTTTTAACTTTTCCAACACATTTATTGGCTTGAAATAAAGCTTTTGGAATTCTGGTGTCTGGTTTTGACCTGCGGCACCATCAGTACCAGTGCTACGCCCACGTGTTATTTTAAAGGTCATGAGTTTAAGAAATGAGTTGTTGGACACCGATTTCCAGGTCTATTATTATGAACTTTGCCAAACGCCTCTGTCTTAAGTTGAACGTCTTTGTCTCGTCTTTTGTTTGTTGCTGTAAAAATTCTTTCTTTTTTGTTTCCGTCTTCACAAAAAGTGCCGTTTCCTTCAGCGAGGCCTGCGCAGGTTTGACTCGATCATGGAGAGAAGAGGTCCCACTCTGAGCCATGCTTTGGAAGACCACAGGGACGATCACAGGGGCGATCACAGGGGCGATCACAGGGGCGATCACAGGGGCGATCACAGGGGCGATCACAGGGGCGATCACAGGGGCGATCACAGGGGCGATCACAGGGGCGATCACAGGGGCGATCACAGGGACGATCACAGGGACGATGCAGTATTCTAATGTGTTTTCAAAGTATTCTGCAAAATCGCCTATCTCTTTTGAGTTTCTGTTCTTATAATCCTAAAACCCGGATCAGTCTCAAAAGAACTCTCTTTGTGATGTTACAGAATGTGTTTTGGTCCCAAAACCAGAACAGCACTTGTCTCGAAGCGTTTCACAGAACTTTAGATGTGCCACAATAGCAGATTAGAAAATCTCACTATTTAAACTCGTCCTTTTGATCGCGACGTCGACAGTTATCCAAAACCAAAGGTCGTGGTGTTTTTAAGTCCGTAAATCATCGCAACTGATATGAAGCTGTTTTTATCCCACTCTCTCTCGCCTCAAAACATTCTGCCTTTCTGCGATTGAACTCTACTTTCAACAAGTGTTACTCTTTTACTTTGCTTAACTTTGACACGACATACTTGTACATACATATTGGACACAAGCCAACGATGTAATTGTTATAATTTGATGTTTCCTCTTATTGGACGCTGGGGACGTGAGCTATTTTTAAAGCCTGTTTCTGAATAAATACCTAATTAAAAAAAATATATATACAGCTGGGAATTAAAACTTTTTCTCTTATTGGCAACAGAAACCCATACAAAATGTTTTTGTTTTTTTTAGCTTTCATTATCAGTATAAATATCTAAAAGTCCTCAAACAGCGCTGGTGTGAAAAGTGGCAAAAAACGCTTGCCAAAAAGATCTTGCTAGTTCTTTGAAACGTCTCTTTGGGCCCACATAGGCCATTAGCATTTCACAATTAGTCTTCTTTAAGTTAGCATGTTAGCATACTCCATCTGTAAACAGTTTCGGTGCATGTAAACTTGGTCCAGAAAGCATTGAACTAGCGACAGAAGAGAGTTATCCAAATGGGAAGGATACGGCTGTTACTCCAAACTGGTGAACAAGTGAGAGGCACCAAAGCACTGGACTACACATGACTCTTCTCTGGTCTCTCTCTCTGGTCTCTCTCTATGATTATTCTCTACTCTCTCTCTCTCTCTCTCTGGTCCTTTATGGTCTCTCTGCTCTCTCTCTGGTCTCTCTGGTTTCTCTCTATGATTATTCTCTGGTCTCTCTCTCTCTCTCTCTGCTCTCTGATCTCTTTCGCTGGTCTCTCTCTCTCTCTCTCTGCTCTTTCACTACATTGAGTTGACCACTATAAACAGACTAAAACTAATCACTATCAAAAAAAATCTGGGAAAACAACACATTTGGATTTTCTAAATTTCTTTCCCGTAGAGAAAGCTACACATGAACCTTCTCTAAAAAAAAAAAATTGTGACTTTCTTTTATTTTAAAATTGTTGCCAAAGTCCAAAAGTTGAGGATTCCCAGTTGAGCAGCTCTGACCCACTCTACAAACCTTTATCTTTCTCTGTTTCTGAGGCTAAACCGTGTCATCATGTATATTACAAACTCACCTTTTCCATTGTTACTCTATGCAGTCGTCGTTCACAGACTGAGGATGAAGTGAGAAACAACTGAAGGTAAAAGTCTGTTTATAAATAAGTGTGAGATCGACACCATCCATCCATCCTCTACCCTTTAATCCATTTCTGGGTCAGGGGGGTGGCAATCAGAGATGCCACCCAAGTCTCATAGCAGCAGCCCCTCACTGACCCTCTGCAGGTGGTGAGTCCACAGGAGGACGGCTGCTCTCTGACTGTGAGCATAGTCTTGATCTTTCAGTGGGAGCTTTGGGCAAAGTGGGGTTAAGTGTCTTGCCCAAGGACACAACGACAGCAGTCATCAGTGGGAGTCGGTGGAGAAGGTGCCGACTCCCACTCGGCCTTCTGGGCTTAAGGCCTTCTGGGCTTAAGGCCAATGCTCTACCAACTGAGCTACTGTCGCCCCTGAGAGGGAGAGAGATCGACACGTTTTGGGAAAATGCTGTTATTTTGACGATGGAACAAATTGACCACTTGTTATAAATTTTGCATTACAGTTTAATATATTGTAAATAAACAGCGGTGATTGTTTTAGAACGACTGGGTTTGTGTCTGCGCTTGATTCACGAGGCGGAAATAAACATGTTTTACTATTAAAGCTGCGATACCTGACTTTTTAAAGACATTTTACCTTCTGTGAGTCTGGTCTCTTTCACTTTTCTTTCCCTAGTCTCTCTTTCTCTCTGGTCTCTACGTGGGCTCTCTGATCTCTTTCTCTCAGTGTTCTTTCTCTCTGGTCTCTTTCCGGTCTCTCTGATCTCTTTCCGGTCTCTCTCTCTCTCGTGTGTCTCTCTCTGGTCTCTTTCCGGTCTCTCTCTCTCTCGTGTGTCTCTCTCTGGTCTCTTTCCGGTCTCTCTCTCTCTCGTGTGTCTCTCTCTGGTCTCTTTCCGGTCTCTCTCTCTCTCGTGTGTCTCTCTCTGGTCTCTTTCCGGTCTCTCTCTCTCTCGTGTGTCTCTCTGATCTCTCTCTCTCTCTCGTGTGTCTCTCTGATCTCTCTCTCTCGTGTGTCTCTCTCTGGTCTCTTTCCGGTCTCTCTCTTGTCCCTCTAAAAAACTCACTGCGACACATTCAGGTCTTCACTCTGAGTTTCTTGTGATAATAAATGATGTAAAAGCAGTCAGGCCTCATGCAGCTCCGTCTGTGTCTGTCCTTGACCCTGATGGTTCTGACACAGGACCCTGCAGGTGTTCAGCTGCAGATGATGAAGAGGCTACGCTCCTCTTTGACTCCTGTAGTTTTGACCCGTGTCTCATTACCTCAGTCTCACTAAGTCCTGACCCTGGACACTGAAGGTCCTCATAACACCAGGCTGAGGGACTGCAGCTGGAGAACATGCAAACTCTGGTCCCACTTGCTGGTGTCTGTGGTCTCTCCCTTGTCTCTCTCTGGTCTCTCCCTTGTCTCTCTTTGGTCTCTCCATTGTCTCTCTCTGGTCTCTCCCTTGTCTCTCTCTGGTCTCTCCATTGTCTCTCCATTGTCTCTCTCTGGTCTCTCCCTTGTCTCTCTTTGGTCTCTCCATTGTCTCTCTCTGGTCTCTCCCTTGTCTCTCTCTGGTCTCTCCATTGTCTCTCCATTGTCTCTCCCTTGTCTCTCTCTGGTCTCTCCCGTGTCTCTCTGGTCTCTCTCGTGTCTCTCTGGTCTCTCTCTTGTCTCTCTCTTGTCTCTCTGGTCTCTGACAAACACTTGAACCCAAAAGTAAAGAACAAACTTTGTATGAAATGATTGTTTCTGTATGGGTTAGGGTTAGGGTTCATACAGAACTTTTATGAACATTTGAATCAAGAAACATATAAATTACATTTTATTAATAATATTAGTCTATGATAAAGTGACATTACTTCACAGGCCAGATCTGTGGGAAGGCGAAAGAATATATGCTTTTCTTACAAGTTTCCATGGCAACAGAATCAAAACATGACGTTTATTATGATTAGTGACTTTAACCACATGAATATAAACGATAGTCTGTCTCACATGGTTGTATTAAAAACTAGTTCAATTAAAACACAGTTATAGCTTCATTTTTGGTGATCTCACACATGGTTCTTCGTTGCTGGTACATTTATGTAAATCAACATTGTTTTTAAAGCTGCTGTTCAAAAGTTTGGGGTCAGTCATTTATTCTGTCATGACTTAAACCTAAAGTTTGTTCCCAACTTAAAGCTGGAGCTCTGACTTTTTGGTTCATAAATAACACAGTAAGAAAGAAAGAAAGAGAGTGGACTGATCTCTCTCTCTCACTCGTCTCTCTCTCTGGTCTCACTCACTCGTCTCTCTCTCTGGTCTCTCTCACTCGTCTCTCTCTCTGGTCTCTCTCACTCGTCTCTCTCACTCGTCTCTCTCTCTGGTCTCTCTCACTCGTCTCTCTCTCTGGTCTCTCAGATGTGACTGAGGCCAAAAGCATTGACAGTGATCTTTTCTGTCTGACCCTAAACCTTCAAACACCAGCGTACATCACATGTCTCTGATGGTTCCTGGTTGATGGTTCCTAGTTGCTGGTTCCTCACAGAACGGCACGGTGGCTGAGTGGATAGCACTCTCGCCTCTCAGCAAGAAGGTCCTGGGTTCAAATCCCGGCCGGACCAGGGCCTTTCTGAGTGGAGTTTGCATGTTCTCCCCGTGTCTGCGTAGGTTTCCTCCGGGTACTCCGGTTTCCCCTACCACTAAAAATATGTCCAATAGTTCTGGCATGTGCCTCCTGTACGGGCCCTGCTCCCATCTCTGTGTGGAGTGAGAGACAAATGCCCAAAAATTAACAATTGTAAACCGCTTTGAGACTCAGATCTGCAGTGAAAAGGCGGTATATAAATAAAGATTACTACTACTTACTACTACTACAGAGCAGAGCGGCTTTGTCCCTGGAAGCGGCGGATCCTGAACGGGGAGAGGTCGAAGGTCGGCACCTCCCCCAGACTCAGCTCACACAGCAACTGCCCCACGATCGGACCGAACTTAAACCCATGACCTGGAGAGAGAGAGGACCAGGTGAGAGAGAGGACCAGGTGAGAGAGAGAATCAGGTGAGAGTGGTACTTGGAGAGGACCAGGTGAGAGTGGTACTGAGAGAGGTACTGAGAGAGGACCAGGTGAGAGTGGTACTGAGAGAGGACCAGGTGAGAGAGGTACTGAGAGAGGACTAGGGACAAAGTTCTCCTGTGGTCACTTGGTTCAATTAAGTCTATGATTTGGATAAATAAATAATGTAGTAATTGTGATAATCTACACACTCTTAGTTTTAGTCCATGGTTTAGACCAGGTTTAGTCCCGCCTCGGTCTCTGCCTCAGTCCTGGTTCTGGTCAGTGTGAAGAGTTGGGACAGTTGTCATCCGTGGCTCGGACCGGTGGGTGCCCGTTGCCATAGAAACAGTGGCAGTTGTTTCTCCAGGGCTCTCATGCTCTTTGATGCAGCCGCAGTGACAGGAGCAGAGGGTCTCCAAAGGTCTGTTTGAACCCGGGGACATGAAAGGGCCCCTCTGCACCAGGGGCCTCCACACTCGGCCAACTCTGCAGTACTATAGGAGCAGCGAGAGACCAGAGCGAGCGACCAGAGAGAAAGACCAGAGCGAGAGACCAGAGAGAGAGACCATAGACCAGAGCGAGAGAGAACAGAGCGAGAGAGACCTCAGAGAGAGACCAGAGTGAGACCATAGCGAGAGACCAGAGAGAGAGAGACCATAGAGAGAGACTAGAGAAAGAGACCTCATAGAGAGAGACTAGAGAGAGAGACCAGAAAGAGACCATAGAGAAAGAGACCAGAGAGAGACCTCAGAGAGAGAGACCAGAGTGAGACCATAGAGAGAGACCATAGATAGAGACCAGAGAGAGAGACAGATTGGAGGCTTCATAACAAAAGCGCAGGTGGGTTGTTGAGAGCAGAGCTACGGTGCACAGTGAGGGACATTTAAATTGGAGCCGAGTGTTTGATGGTTTTGCTGCTTCAGACTCACACTGGTCTGGAACGGCAGCTGCAGGAAACACATGGTGGAAAAAAACTATTCAAAGTTTTCAAGACATTTGGGATGAAATCAAATCCATTCTGTTTTGTTTTTTGGTGAATAGAAGATTGAGGTTTCAGTTACTAGAGTTCTGAGGCAGATATAAAGAGAGAGAGCAGAGAGAGAGACCAGAAAGAGAGAAAGAGGGGGCAGAGTTTCTTCCAGCTGTGGTGTTTGAAATCACATTGAAACGTGTGGGAGGTGTTTTTGTTTTTTTGGTTTTGCTGAATCCTCATGTTGTCCGTGGTGCTGAAGGGGTTTGTTTCTACGGTGCAGCGTTAACATCCACCTTCAAACATGTTCGTGCAAAAGTACAAACATGCAGCAGCAAGGACTCAAAAACCAGAGAGCGAGACCAGAGAGCGAGACCAGAGAGCGAGACCAGAGAGCGAGACCAGAGAGCGAGACCAGAGAGCGAGACCAGAGAGCGAGACCAGAGAGCGAGACCAGAGAGCGAGACCAGAGAGCGAGACCAGAGAGCGAGACCAGAGAGCGAGACCAGAGAGATATCCAGGACTCAATTCTTATTCTTTGTTGTGACAAAAGACCTGGTCCCGGTACCAGCCTCCACAAGGTCACATTAGCCGTTTTCTCGCTCCAACTCCAACTTGTCACTTTACTAAATATGTGACTTTTGATTCCTCTTGTGACGTAAAGTTGTGTTTTAATCAAAGTTGTGCGGCGGTGTTTGTGCGATGGTCTGGAACAGTGTGTTTGTGACTCACCAGAGAAACCTGCTCCAATCACAATGTTTCTGTGCTGAGGATGAACGTCCAGGACGAAGTGACGGTCAGGGGTCATCTGCAAACACAGAGGAATCAGAGAGAGGGAGAGGGAGAGAGGGGGGAGAGAGAGAAAGAAAGGGAAGAGAGGAGAGGAGAAAGGGAGGAGAGAGGGCGGAAGCGAAAGAAAAGAGAGAAGAAAGGGAGAGAGCGAGGAGAGATAGGAGAAAGAGAGAAGAAAGGAGAGGATAGAGAGAGCACAGAGAGGAGAGATGAGGGGAAGAGGGGATTGACAGGAGAGAAAGAAAGAGGGAGAAGAGGAGAGAGGGAGGAGAGCAGAGTGAGAGGAGATGAGAGAGGAGAAGAGGAAGAAAGAGGGAGCGGAGGAGAGAAGGGGAAGAGAGAAGAGAAGATAAGAGGGGAGATAAAGGGGGAAGAAGAGAAAGGAAAGGGGGGAGAGAGAGGAGAGGAAAGAGGGGGAGAGAAAAGAGGATAGAGAAGAGAAGGTAGAGGAGAGAGAGCCTCCTCTGGTCGCGCTGATTGCTCAGGTCCAAACACTGATTAAAAAGTGAAGTTTTCAAATTCTTTCAGAGTCTTTTCAAAGCGAGTTCTGCGACAAACTTTGGGATTGATTTAAAAACAGCCTCAGCAGAAAAACACAGAACGGCTGCTTTTAGACACAAACATTCACGTCTCAGGAGAAATATCATGCATCATAAGTTTAAATCAATACATAATATTTCAAAATTCCAGCCACAAATCTGAAAAAACATTTTTTTTTTTTTTTTTTTTTTGAATGACCACAAAAAGTAACAAAGGAGAGTGTAGTAAAATGACACATGATTTTGGCCTTTTTTGTTTCACATTTACGTCTGTGTTGATCCGGACCTCGAGCCTGCAAATAAAGTTATCTATCAATCTGCCTTTGGAAGATTCCTGAAGAAGGTGAATGAAAGAGGCCGCCTGTTCCACTGGTGTTTTCCAAACTTTGATCCCAACTGCAAACCTACCCAGACACGGCCGTTTTCCCAATCCGACGGCTCAAACCGGGACAGCAGCGATGCAGACCCTTCAGTCGTCTGGTTCTTTGCTGAGGTCTTTCCAGGATTATATTTTCAAACTAAAATGCTTGTGTCTGCGATTGTAAACGTCACAGAATGTGTCAAAATTCCGGATGCATCGTCACTTTTGCAAAACGCTGTAAAATATTAAAGATGCAGTAAGCAATGGTAGCTGTCGCACCAACTCCAAACCACTCCCTCCTCCCCTCCCTCTCCACCAAACCAAACATCCAGCATTTTCTTTTCTTTGTCACAACAGGGAGAGTGGGCGGCAAACGTGAAATTGGCATTTTCTGTTCAGCCATTTTAGGTTTTAGAAAAACCGATAACTCAGGTGCACTCGTGAGAAACAGCAAGAAGGTGAAGGCAGTAAACGCATCCCATTGGTTAGTTTTTATCTGTCCACTCCAAAATATTTAGTATTCATTTTTGGAGACTATAGTCATCTCTCTCTCTCTCTCTCTCTCTCTCTCTCTCTCTCTCTCTCTCTCTCTCTCTCTCTCTCTCTCTCTCTCTCTCTCTCTCTCTCTCTCTCTCTCTCTCTCTCTCTCTCTCTCTCTCTCTCTCTCTCTCTCTCTCTCTCTCTCTCCTTCTCTGGTCTCTCTCTCTCTCTCTCTCTCCTTCTCTGGTCTCCTTCTCTCTCTCTCTCCTTCTCTGCTCTCTCTCTCTCTCTCTCTCTCTCTCTCTCTCTCTCTCTCTCTCTCTCTCTCTCTCTCTCTCTCTCTCTCTGGTCTCTCTCTCTCTCTCCTTCTCTGGTCTCTCTCTCTCCTTCTCTGGTCTCTCTCTCTCCTTCTCTGGTCTCTCTCTCTCCTTCTCTGGTCTCTCTCTCTCTCTCTCTCTCTCTCTCTCTCTCTCTCTCTCTCTCTCTCTCTCTCTCTCTGTCTCTGTCTCTCTGTAAGTGGGTGTATGGTCAGGGAGTGTAGCAGACCGTGTACATGCAGCTCTCCACGATGGCGGGCTCTGGCTCCAGTCCCGGGACGCAGCGAGACACGAATCGGCTCAGAATGTCCACGTCGGAGCGGTCGGTCTGACGGTCGCGTTGATCCGGGTCCGTGGGGCTGCCGTTGTGGAAGCAGATCTGAAAACACAACAACTGTTAACAACCACACAACAGCTAACAACAACACAACTGTCCTGAACTTTTTTTCTTTTTAAATCCTTCTGTTTTTTTTTTAATCCACACTTTACTGCCGCAAACTCTGCTCCATTCCTTCCTGCTCTGACTCCGCTCTACCACTGCTCTGATCTGCAGCTCTGATTGGTCAAAGTGCGGCCGAGCCCCTCTGTGCGCGTGCATGAGAGCCACACACGCGTATTTGGCACATCATGGGAGATGATCAACTGCGCAGAACCGGGAGGACCAGACGATGACCAAATATAGCCAAGTTGCTCTGATAAGTCAGCGCCCGTGAAGTCCCATGCGCGACTGAGCACCAGCCATTCATTTGAAAAGGACGCCATCTTGGATCACCGAGGCTTGGGCTAACGGTGAATGAGTCATGGAAGCTAACAATGTAGCTGTTAAAAAACGTCATCAAATCATGTTGTGTCCAGTTCAAACAGTAGTCTCTCTGCTACATTAAACATGAAAACCTGCGGCTGAAAAGTACCGTAATCGGACCAATCCCACTGTTATTGATCCTCTGATGAATCCAGACATGAACAGTTTTATTTCATCTGAAAACGTTTAAATGCGGCGCGGCGAGGACTGTATTAACGGCTCATTGTGACGAGGCTTCGATAAAAGGTGGCGACCGATGTTCAGCCCTGGTTTTTATAATCTCACAATTATAAAGCTATTAGCGGCTAATGCGCAAACGGCTCCTCCATTAGCAGATCTAATCAGAGCACGGCATCGATCTCCGGCTCTGCGCTCACATTTACCTCTGTCAGCCAGGCTCACACACACAGCGGCGTTTAGAAGCGTTTAGAAGCGTTAGAGAAATTTACTTTGTGTTATTGTGGTAATTAAAGAGTGTGTGGACATCTCTATGTGGACGCTATTACAGAAGGATGATGATGGTGGTAGTAGCAGTAGCAGAAGTGGTAATAGTAGTAGCAGTACCTTGACCAGTCCTGGGTACTCGTTGGATGGGAGACCGTAGATGTGTTCTTGAGCCTCCTCTCCCTCCGTCAGCAGGAAACAGGGGAAACGGTTTCTCACATGGTACGATCCCGGAGTCTTCTCTTTCCAGTAACATACGTTGATCTTTATCACCTGCACAGAGAGAACAAGCAAAACCAGACCTTGTTATCACCTGCACAGAGAGAACAAGCAAACCAGACCTTGTATGAATGTTGTGAAGCTGCGATCCCGCTGTTCACAAACAATAAGCTGAAGTTGGATTTATGATTTCAGACCATAGACTGTAAATATTAACAGACGTAGTCACTGCTGTCTATGGGCAGTTTCAAAATGGCCGCGGGGGCTGGAAAATGTGAAAAAACGAATCTGCGCATGTGTCAGCTGCACGAGCCCCATTCATTTAACGAGTGCCTTCAAAAGTCCACAGCGGCTAAACTAGAATGGTCCAAAAAAAATTCGTCATAGAGACACGAGAAAGACCAGAGAGACAGACCAGAGAGAAAGACCAGAGAGAGAGACAGACCAGAGAGAGAGACCAGAGAGAGAGACCAGAGAGAGAGAGGCCAGAGAGACAGACCAGAGAGAGACAGACCAGAGAGAGACCCGCGAGAGATCAACAAGAGACCAGAAAGAGAGACCAGAAAGAGAAAGACATGAACACCCAGAGCACATTAAGGAGAAACTAGTGTAAGCAACAATAAAGTTACATTATTTAAATCACCGTCTCTTCTCAACTCCAACAAATAAACTTTACTCCAGTTGTTTTTCTTTTTGCACATTTCAACATTTTTCCTGCTTTTAGAATAAGTCCAGATGATGTATGGCTGTGCGCGCCGCCCTCCGCAGCGCTGCTAATTACGCGCGGCGCTTTGTTGTTGCGGCTGGTGACAAATGGTCGCGGCGGGAGATGCAGCCGCTGTAATTATTCACAGACTCATTATGCAAAACGCCGCCCGGATAGAAGCGCGCTTAAAGTCCCGATCGGCGGCGCCACGGTGCCAGCGAGGCCGCGGTCTGGGTGCATCCACCCACCTGCCGTCGCATCGGGTTCATTTTGGTAGGAAATTATGTAAACGTGAAAAGTCTGGAGGAAGAAAAGGTGTTTTTGTAAATGAATCTGAGGTTTGTTTATGTTCGATATCGATGAGTTTGTCACAAAGAGAAACAGAAGAAGCAAGCTTACATTTCTAAACAACTTTAACTGTCTATCTCTCTGGTCTCTCCTGTCTCTCTATCTGGTCTCAGTCTCTCTGGTCTCAGTCTCTCTGGTCTCAGTCTCTCTGGTCTCAGTCTCTCTGGTCTCTCTGTCAGGTCTCTCTGTCAGGTCTCTCGTCCCTTACATTTTGTGACATTCCTCTCTCTCCCTAGATGAATGGCTGACACGGGTTCAAACAACACGACATGCCATTTCAACACGGTCTAAAAACACAGTCTGCAGTATGAAGATACATTTTTTCATAGCTCAAGAGTTAGCCCGAGTTAGCCCCATTAGCACTGCACTTCAGGCTTATTGACAGTGAGAATTACGAGTGTAATGCCACCACAGACCTCCAGGGGGAGCTGCAGTCCGGTGGAGGCCAGTACTCTGTTGGCCCACGCTCCTACGGTGATGACCACGCTCCGCGCCCGGTACGATCCGGACGCCGTCGTTACCGTGACGACGGAGCCAGGGGTGATGTCCTCCACCTTCTCCTGGTCGCGCAGCACGCCCCCGAGCTTCTTAAACTGGTCCTGAGAGAAAAACAACACACAACAAGTTAGTCTGTTTACAATAACTGTGGAGAGAGAGGAAGGGGGAGGTATGGGCCCATGGGGGAAAGAGAGAGGGGAGAGAGAAAGAGGAGAGAAAGAGGAGAGGAGAGAGAGATAAGATAAGAATTCCTTTATTCATCCCACAGTGGGGAAATTTCGTGGGACGAGGGAAAGAGGAGAGAAGAGAGGGAAGAGAGGAGAGAGGAGTTTACTTCTCAATGTACGTCAATAGGAGCCAGAGCAAACTTTGCCCATGAGCGCTTCCCTAATGAGCTTCTATGTCCATCTATATACAGTCTTTGCCGTAAATTTCAGGGGGTGGTAAAAACCTGCAACATTCAATGGAATCAAACTAATGTTTAAAACTAGGTCCAGGAGCAGAGTCCGGTTTATGGAGATTCCGTTCACAGCAGTAGCAGCTGTAGTAGTAGTAACAGCAGTATTAGCAGGAGTAATAGCAGTAGTAACAGCATCAGTAGCAGTAGTAAAAGTAGTAGTAGTAACGGCAGCAGCAGTAGTAGCAGCAGTAGCAGCAGCAGTAGTAGCAGCACTAGTAGCAGTAGCAGTAGCAGCAGCAGTAGTAACAGCAGTAGCAGTAGCAGCAGTAGTAACAGCATCAGTCTGTAGTAAAGTCTGCAGTTGAACCTTGTCCATCACTTCCTTTAATGAAAAAACGGTGTAAATGAGGATTAAACTAAGCCTGTAATGTTCTTTTAATCTCATTATTCTGACTCTGCAGTCGCCGTGGTGACGAAACACTCCCATCCTCCATTTCACGCCTGCGCTTTTCATTTATGCACTTATTTATGAGAGAATAATCCAATTAATCTGAATAGTGCCATGTGCTTTTTCTACAGGTTTCCTATAGTGCTTTGGTCTCATACGGTTTAATAGTCAGTTACTATAGTTACTTGATATATTGAGAGTGAGGAGTTGACGTCATAGCACAGAGCCCCTCCCCGTCTCCGCCATGTTGGTAGGATCCCACCCAGCGGCAAACAGTTGTTGTTAACTCGGTAGCAAAGGAGGTCATCGCTATTTCTGTTTTACCATGCCTGGAGCTCATTGCTGTGTGAAAAACTGCTCCAGTACCTCACACAATAAGAAAGGAAAACGTAGGAACAACGGTTTACAATTTTTTAGGCTACCAAAATGTATACAACATCAGGGAGCGCAAGTGTCTGACCTGACGAAGAGACGCTGGATGGCTTGGTTGGCTGCAATAAGAAGAAAGGACCTTACTTTCGATCTCACCCCCCAGTCGATGAGAGTGTGTTCTCTGCATTTTCACTCGGGTACGTCCTAAAATGTCTTTATGTTACCTTTGCAAGTACAACGGTGTTTTCACCGCCTGGAGGCTTGTAGATGGCCAAGTCCTGCACCCAACCACAGCAGAAAGCCTCGTAACTCTCCAGTGACTTGTGACTTCTAAACTCCTGCATTGTGTAATAACTAACACCGAAAACAAGGTAATTGACTATATCCATGTAGCGTTACGTGCACGGAGGCAAAAAGTCTAGGTCTTTTTGCCACTCCGCTGCAGGAAGCTCGTATGGGTCTACCTGTTGTATGTCTGAGAGCTTCTCCAAATAACGTTGTTTTGCCGTGGGTAGAAGCTTTTCCCTGTACGGTCCATTTCCTTTCGCCTTCACTTTCTCCATTAACTGTCTTGCTAGTGTTGTAATCGTAGATGTATCTACTGCCGAACTAATAAACGTGCTCAATTTAAAGACCTCTGGAGCGTTAGCGTTAGTGGCGTTGCCCCTGGCAACCGATGGAGGATCCTATCAACATGGCCGACCGGATTAGACCCCGCCCAAATTATCACGTGATCCCTCATTCTCAATATATATATATAGACTTTTGAGTAATAAAATAATCAGTTTTTTATGTTTTTCGTCTCAAACAGATTTAATCGCTGCTTAAAGGTCACATATTACACCGTTTGGCTTCATACACGCGACCAGAGTGGTTTTTTCATTGATTCTTCAGAACTCTTTCTCTTTCATTCTCCAGAGGCATGAGCAGCAGAAGCCCTGCCCCCTGGAGTTGAGTGACAGGTGAGAAATCCAAACAGCTTCTCCCGAGTCCAGCGTACTGTGCTGCGTCCACCACATGGAGCTGTACTGTTTTTTCTGCTATTGTCAGTGTCGAAAAGTGTTAGCATGATGGGACTTGGAGAACATTTGTTTTTGGTGCAAATACGTGACGACACTATTGGGTCAAAAGATGAAGAAACTGAGAAAAACTGCAACACATTTTTTTCTGCGAGCGACACTTCCCCAAAGACCAGAACTACAGTTACCGTGAAATTAGACCTATTCCCACAATAAAGTTAGCTTTCACAAAGCCTTTGAGGCGGGTGAGGGTGGGGGGAGGCGGGCGAAGGTGGGGGGAGGCGGGCTCACAGACAGAAGAGCAGGGAGGAGACTGTGAAACATGAAGAAGAGCAAAATATGGGACCTTTAAGGCTATTGGTCAAGTTTGTCCCTGTGTCGTCTTGAATGCTCTGTACCTGTGCTGTCTTGAATGCCCTGTATTCAAATGTGCTCTGTACCTGTGCTGTCTTGAATGCCCTGTACCTGTGCTGTCTTGAATGCCCTGTACCTGTGCTGTCTTGAATGCCCTGTACCTGTGCTGTCTTGAATGCCCTGTACCTGTGCTGTCTTGAATGCTCTGTACCTGTGCTGTCTTGAATGCCCTGTACCTGTGCTGTCTTGAATGCCCTGTACCTCTGTGAACCTGCTCTGTACCTGCTGTCTTGAATGCCCTGTACCTGTGCTGTCTTGAATGCTCTGTACCTGTGCTGTCTTGAATGCCCTGTACCTGTGCTGTCTTGAATGCCCTGTACCTGTGCTGTCTTGAATGCTCGGTAACGCTTTATATTAAGGTGTGCTTGTTAAGTATTAATAAGGTATTAATAGACATCATGCTTATAGATTGCTTATATGTACTTATAAACATATTAATAAGCTGCTCATTTCACTATTCTCTAAATGATGTTCTAGTTATATGCTTTTAAGAATTTAATAAGTAATTAGGCTCCTGTGGACTCACCACCTGCAGGAGGATCAGTGAGGGGCTGGTGCTATGTGTACTGGGTGCAGCTCTGACTGCTGCCCCCCCGACCCAGAAATGGATTAAGGGGAAGAAAATGGATGGATGGATGGATAAGTAATTAGTAAGATACTTATTAAAGGAGGAATATGTTTATAAATATATGAATAAGCTGCTTATTAAACTATTATCGATACCATGTTATAGGCCACTAACAATATTCCTATAAAGATATTAATAAGCTGCTTATTAATAGGCAATAGTGGTAATAGGCCACTAAAGATATGCGTTAATAAACTGCTTATTACACTATTTTGCAGTACCCTAATCTAAAGCGAGGAGCATTTTTGTTAATGTAGAAATAAACACAACAATGATCTAAGATGTTTTTATTTATTCAAACAACAACAATTAAAGTCTAAATGAAAAAATATATCAAAATGAAGTTTGTGCCAAAAGTTTGTTAGTAACTTCAAGGAGCCATGATGAACCCACTCATGCTCCGACCTGCTCTGTTCATGAATTTGGCTTTGGCAAAACAGTGAATCAGCTGTCTATTAATACCTTATTAATACTTAACAAGCACACCTTAATATAAAGCGTTACCGAATGCTCTGTACCTGTGCTGTCTTGAATGCTCTGTACCTGTGCTGTCTTGAATGCCCTGCTCTGTACCTGTGCTGTCTTGAATGCCCTGTACCTGTGCTGTCTTGAATGCCCTGTACCTGTGCCGTCTTGAATGCTCTGTACCTGTGCTGTCTTGAATGCTCTGTACCTGTGCTGTCTTGAATTCCCTGCTCTGTACCTGTGCTGTCTTGAATGCCCTGTACCTGTGCTGTCTTGAATGCCCTGTACCTGTGCTGTCTTGAATGCCCTGCTCTGTACCTGTGCTGTCTTGAATGCTCTGTACCTGTGCTGTCTTGAATGCTCTGTACCTGTGCCGTCTTGAATGCTCTGTACCTGTGCTGTCTTGAATGCTCTGTACCTGTGCTGTCTTGAATGCCCTGCTCTGTACCTGTGCTGTCTTGAATGCCCTGTACCTGTGCTGTCTTGAATGCTCTGTACCTGTGCTGTCTTGAATGCCCTGTACCTGTGCTGTCTTGAATGCCCTGTATTCAAATGTGCTCTGTACCTGTGCTGTCTTGAATGCCCTGTACCTGTGCTGTCTTGAATGCCCTGTACCTGTGCTGTCTTGAATGCTCTGTACCTGTGCTGTCTTGAATGCCCTGTACCTGTGCTGTCTTGAATGCCCTGTACCTGTGCTGTCTTGAATGCCCTGTATTCAAATGTGCTCTGTACCTGTGCTGTCTTGAATGCCCTGTATTCAAATGTGCTCTGTACCTGTGCTGTCTTGAATGCCCTGTACCTGTGCTGTCTTGAATGCCCTGTACCTGTGCTGTCTTGAATGCCCTGTACCTGTGCTGTCTTGAGGGCGCGGTCGGCGAACAGAACCCCCGCCGTCACGTCCACGATGGCTCCGTCCCCCGGGGCCAGCAGCATGTGGGGGATGTGGGAGCTGAAGTCCTCCTGACTGATGCTCACGGTGGGGGTCCCGCTCCTCAGCAGCGTTTCTCTGGTCTGACTGAAGTAGGCGCTGTTCTCTGGACCCATCAGCAGGAGACCCGTCTGTCTGAGGGTTAGGGTCAACGGTTTAGCTAGTTTTGATCCTGGATCTACAGCCTCAGTCCTGGATCTACAGCCTCAGTCCTGGATCTACAGCCTCAGTCCTTGGTCTACAGCCTCAGTCCTGGATCTACAGCCTCAGTCCTGGATCTACAGCCTCAGTCCTGGATCTACAGCCTCAGTCCTGGATCTACAGCCTGTGTTTGTTATCATTGCATTTCCTGTGTTTGAACAGTCCATTCTCAGATCTGTTTTAGCGAATTGTCCATTTTGTAAAATCTGCCACGACTTCTGTTGTGATTTAGAGCTACACACAAATAAAAAGGATTATATTGTGGATTGTGTCTTTCCAGATTTAACTGTGGCTGCTACAGAACCGCCGCATGTAGAGGAATAATACACAAAACAAATGAATACCCGGCAACGGATGAAGCGGAAGAAAATGCATGGATATGAATAAAACTTCTTGCAAACACAGAACACTGGACGTATCTCAGACTGTATTTTCAATCCTGTTGATTTATGTTTTGTATCTTTTGTCATCTCCTCTTCCTCTCCTCCTCCTCCTCTTCCTCTCCTCCTCCTCTCCTCTTCCTCCTCTCCTCTTCCTCAGACTGTGCTTTCCCAAACGCCCGGAGCCCGAGGCTTCGCTGACGCAACAGAACTCGGTCTTGGTTGATCTTATTATGCAGATGGTATTGAAATCGCGGCTGATAAATTATTCTCAACTCCCTGTGAACCGCGAGCTTCTGACTCTGGAATATTTCACCGTTTTTTTATACGTTTCCAAGGTCAAAAGGAGCGATCGTCCTCCGGCTCCTCGCTCACAGGTCGCACCAGCACTTTGCCGTAAAAATATGTTTTATTAACAATTTAACAGCAGCAATAGACACAAATGTGAGACAGGCTTCTAGATGACAATGGACAAATCCAGGTTAAATGTAGAAAGAGCAGGTATCGCACAACAAAACATGAATTAATGAGGTCCAGATGCGAGAATCAACATTTCAATCTTATTTATTCATGACATTTCAGTTTATTGGTGATTTTTCTTTTTCTTATGACCACAAAATACAAAGTTGTTGCCAGCCCAGGTGCTCATAAGCCTCAGAATAAGTGGGAGGTCCAGGGTTATAAACTGTTCTGTGTAGCTGTGATTTAGGGCTGGGAAAAATACATTTGATATTCAAGCATAATTCAAATATTAACAAAAAATAATGACATTTGATCAAATATTAAACAGCGCTTAATATTCGAATATTAAACTGGCAGGATTGTTGTGTGTATTAGATAGAGATTATATATATATATATATATATATATAGTTGTTATGTAATCTTTATTGATCCATATAATAAACATTTTTTCCAATATATTACAATTTTAAAATGAATACCATTTGAATATGTTTTTGAGCCTGACTGTGCTACAGCTGAAGGATTGTATCTTCGCTCTTTTTAATGCACTGTGATTGTTTATGATTTGAATGCCTTGTTTTGTTGAGCCATCTGAGTTGCCTTGCGTATGAACTGCGGTATACAAATAACCTTGTCATGTTGTGTAGAGTGTTATTTCCTGTGTGTTTGCTCCTCTGATCTGACGGCTCCTGGTGTTCATGTTCAGTGTAATAGCTTTTCTCTCTTTATTATCTGCTGCTGCGGAGGCGGCTCTTCACACTCGCTCTAACAGACTTCTCCAGGACAGACACAGACACAACAACAGAGAAAATACTGTAGGAAACCTCCAGAAACACTAATAAATCAGATTGTTACGAAAGTATGGACACAAACTGGAGCAGGGCAATCATCATTTATACAGCCCCATTTCCACCAACTCTACTCTGCTCTAAAGATACAAGAAATGTCTCCCTTGGAAAGAGAAAATAAAGCAACAGTTCTTCAAATAAGACCGGCTTTATCCGAGTGTGAAGCGGCTGGGATGAGAATCAGCTCCAAATCCGAGGCCATGGTGCTCGACCAGAAAAAGGTGCCTTGCCCTCTCTGGGTGGGTGGAGTGGTCCTTCCTCAAGTGGAGGAGTTAAAGTATCTCAGGGTCTCGTTCACGAGTGAGGGAAGGATAGAGCGTGAGATTGACAGGCGGATTGGTGCAGCGTGCGCAGTGATGCGGTCGCTGTATCGGCCCGAAAGAACGAGATCGCGGATACAAGCGGTTGAAATGAGCTTCCTCCGCAGAGTGGCTGCTCCCTTAGAGATAGAGGATAGACACGGGAGGAGCTCAGAGTAGAGCCGCTGCTTCTACACATCGAGAGGAACCAGCTGAGGTGGCTCAGGCATCTGTTCCGGAGCTGGAGGAAGTGTGTGTGGATAGGGAAGTCTGGGCGTCTCTGCTTAGACTGCTGCCCCCGCGACCCGGCTACGGATGAAATGGAAGAAAATGGATTGGAATGGCTTTATCCCATTGGTGAATCTTGTTTAAACAGTCAGAATGAACTAAAATTAAGAAAAGAATCACTATTTCAAGCAACTATTAACGGCTTATTAACGCGAGGTTAATAAATGTTTTATTATATGACTATTTTCAATTTGTGCAAATATCGATCGGTTTCAACTAGCAAAAACACATGCAACCAAACAGTCAAATGGTGACATGAAGAACTTATCAGATGATTGAGGTCGCGCGCTGGTAAGTTCTCACTCTCTTCTGTGTCTTTACCAATGCTTTTTAGATATTTGTGAAGTATGTACTTGGTTTTCCTAATCGTGTTTTTACCTTTCTGATCTGTAACGAAGTGGTCAATCTCTTCTTGACTGTTAGGAGTTGTATTTTTGTCGTTATTTGCTGTTATTACTTCCTCTGGCTCTTCAAACTCATCTGGATAATAGAATTCACTGAGAATGCTCCTAGTCGTCGCTCAATATTTCTTTTTACCAAGAAAAGATATCAAATCTGATTCGCGCTGCGGACCAATTGTCATGGTAACGGTCCGAGATGGGAAAATATCAGACCGCAAATCAGAGCGCGCGAACGATCCAAGTCATATAATAATACCTCATATCATATCATTTTTTGCAGAGTACATAAGCCGCAAGGATCAAAGAAGTAGAAAACAGTAGCGTTGTATATTTGGATGTTAGCGTAGTCACCTGTAGAGGGAGACGCCGGCCTCCTGCTCCAGCTCCTTCCACAGCCTGTAGCATTCATCCATCATGTGGACGTAGAAGTCCTCCTCGTAGGCCTTCCTGATGATGCGGCTCTGACCGTGGGAGCTGCCCCTGGAGTGCGGCAGGATGAACTGGGAACACCACCACAATCATCACTTTAAACCATGGATGTGTTTTGTTGGCTGGATTTAAACCAGTCTCCACATGGACTAGAGGCCACCCGCGGAACTGCAGGTTAACTTCACATGGGCTTAAAGGGGTTTTCTTATAGACCTCAGTGTGAACTAAAACGGCCTGTCCTCAGATGGCAGGAAACATGGTTTTTCACAGAGAGAGAGACCAGAAAGAGACCAGAGAGAGAGACTAGAGAGAGACCAGAGAGAGAGACTAGAGAGAGACCAGAGAGAGAGAGACCAGAGAGAGAGACTAGAGAGAGACCAGAGAGAGAGAGACCAGAGAGAGAGACTAGAGAGAGAGACCTGAGAGAGAGACATGAGAGAGAGACCAGAGAGAGAGAGACCAGAGGTGTGTGTCCCTTATCATCCTGAGCTTTTTATTTTTGTAAATTGATCAGTTTTCTCAGTCCATGAGGATCCCAGGGACTGGAATCCGGCTGATTCCCAGAGTCAGGACCAATGGGGGCGGGTCCCGGCTCAAAAGTGGCCAAAATGACGTGCGCTGACATGCTTGCAATACCACCCCGGGCCGATGGGGGCGGACCCGGAATAAGAATTAGCCAATGCTAACATATAGCATTGGCAGACCTCTCAGAAACGTCTTTACAGGATGGTCCAAAAGTTGGCTCTTGGCCCAAAGCTCCGTTCCACATGTGTGTCAATGCTGAGGGGGGTGGATTATTTTGGACCACTCTAGTTTACTTGTTGTGAATTTTTGAAGTCTCTCGTTCAAATGAATGGAGCTGCGCCGACTGACGCATGCGCAGATGCGTTTTTTCACAATTTTCTTGTGGGCGGGACCACTCGCGGCCATTTTGGATAGCTCCAGTAGAGCACATTTTTGGCCCATTAGTTTGAACGGCGGAGATAGGCGTGACTACGTCCATTATTTTTTACAGTCTATGGTCAGGACTAAACATGGGGAGGCAGCGTTTCAGATTCATGCAACGGAACAGTCTTCCTGAAAATGTGAGACAGGCTTCTTCTCGAACAATGTTCAAATTCGAAACAATTGAAGGATTATTTTAATACCCTTTATTGTTTCGATCTTGTTTTGTTGAGCACTTTGAGTGGCCTAGCGTATGAACTTGCCTTACCTGATATGAGTCAGGGTCAGGACTTGTAATCATTAACATATACATGACAGAGTGATGTAATAACATTGGTACAACAGCCAAGTCAGAAATATTCAGTTTCACCTCAAACCACTCAAACAGTGACTCAGCAGTTTGTCTAAAATGCAAACTAAATTTCAGGTCAAAGACGAAAAGAAGGAAGTAGGAATGTGTTGTTGTTAAGTAGATAATACTTTGATAATCATGGGGGTGGGAACATGCATTTTATATTAAAAGCTGGGGCATGTAACTTTCAAACCACTAACAAAGTAACTCTAATGTAATATCCATGTAATAGTTCCTCGTTCTCAAAATAGTTTTTTTTGTGTTCATTTTTGGTTGAACAACACATTGTCTCTCCACACCAGAGAGAGAGAGAGACCAGAGATAGGGACCAGGGGGACCAGAGAGACCAGAGAAAGGATGTTTTCATATCCAACCAAAACGGCAAGGAATTCTATAGGAAAAACACAAAAATCATAAGCTGAGACTTTGGTATTTACTTAAAATTCAAGCTAGGACAATATTTCCGTTCACAATACTTACTACTAATACTGATAGATGAATAATAAATAGGCAATTGATTTTTGTGTGTATAATGTCATGCATAGGTTTTGGTTTTGTGAGCTCCTGTCACGCCCCCTTTAAGTTCTTAAAAAATTAGGGAATATTTCCTTCTGTCTTCTCAGCAAGGACCAGGGTTCGAATCCCGGTCGGAACAGGGCCTTTCTGAGTGGAGTTTGCATGTTCTCCCTGTGTCTTCGTAAGTTTCCTCTGGGTGCTCCGGTTTCGCCCTACCACTAAAGACATGCACAGTAGGCAAAATCTTATAGCTCCAGTTGTTCGACCAAGCAGAGACTCTATATTTGGAGATGGGTATAATTTAATGCAACTTAACCTAAATTATCTTGGTTCAAAGCCCACAACAAAACTTTTGCATAACTTTTGCATAACTTCTGTCCTAGTTTGTGTGAGTTCTCGCCGCTCTCACCTGTTCCAGCAGCAGAGTCTTCTTCCCCCGCTTGGCCAGACTGTAGGCCGTGAAGGAGCCTTGGACCCCGGCTCCGATCACGATGCAGTCGTAGAGGTCCTGGGCCGTGGACATGATCGCGGTCTCTTCGCGTAGAAGTAGGTCAGACTGAGAGACTGAAGGGACTGAGGATCTGAACTGGTTTGTCCTGCTCCTGTAAGAAAATAACACCGCGCGTAGAAAGTTTTCCCTGGTCAAGGACTGTCAGGCTCAGTCACAGCCAGAGCAAGACTTTTTCCCAATTCTTTGACTGGCAGGCTCAACGTTGTCCAATCCAATCCACTTAAAGTGGTTCTCACCCCCGCTCCTCGGAGCTTACGTCACTCACATTTCCTGTTCAAATCTTCCTCTAAATGGGCGTAGCCTGGAGGACTAAAGGGGGCGTGAACGAGACTGGGCCGTTTACATTGCTCTGGGCGGGGGGCTGCTGACGTCAGGTCCAACTTGCAGACGTCAGGTCCAACTTCTGTGCCAGTGTTGGCGCCAGATTCAAAATTCAAATGTAGTAATACAGGTCGCCAGCAGATGGCGCCTCACAGACGGTTTTAGGCAGAAAGTCTAACTTTCAACTAATTTGCACCAAAGTGACAAGATTATGACCAGGATATGTAGACAACACCATTGGACACTCATTTATACCGTTTATCAGCAAAAAAAAGTGGATTTGAGGGTGAGTTGTCCTTTAATTTATAAAGCACATATTATAAACACGTTTTCAAAGTGATGCACAGAGGTGGGAAAAAAAAATCATGTTTGGTATTTCAATATTCATTCATAAAAAAGTTACACATTGGACACATTGGGGTGTATGTCACATCACCATTTATATGTATTTTTATTTGACAGGGACATTGCACCTTAAATGTATTGCTCAGACGGGGAATGACAAGAATATTATTTTAATCCATAGTCCCAGGTCAGAGGCTAGAAAGAGACCAGAGACACCAGACAGAGACCAGAGAGATACCAGAGAATGAAACCAGAGAAAGAGGCCAGAGAGAAAATAGTTTGGATTGGCCCAGGGAATACAGAGAAATTAGCCCAAAACTAAAATTAGAATCTCACTTTTTTATTAATCTTGTCTCAAAATGACCTTTATTTAACCAATTTCTCCTGTGACCTAAATTCACGAGCCCGTCTGGAGTTTGATTGATAGTGTTTGATGCTTCCTCCTTGTCTTTGGCACATGTCTAGTGTGTGTACAGTAGGTGTGTGTGTGCATGTGTGTGTACGTGTGTGTGTGCGTGCGTGCGTGCGTGCATGCGTGCGTGCCTGTGTGTGTGTGTGTGTGTGTGTGTGTGTGTGTGTGTGTGTGTGTGTGTGTGTGTGTGTGTGTGTGTGTGTGTGTGTGTGTGTGTGTGCACTTGTTTTCAACTCCTGGTGGGTTCCATAACCTGAGATTCCACTCACGTCATGGGGACTGGTTTTACGTGGTGGGGCCCGAACACCGGACCCCACTGGTCCAAGCTTAATAATCAATGGGTAATGCTTTTCTAACGGTCCTTATGCAGTCTCTGTAAAAATATGGAAAGGACCCCTGGAGGTTTACTTTCCTGAAAAAAGTGTGTTATGTGTCGGAACCCTGGTGGTGGGTTGCGGGATATCAAGGAGGGGCACACTGGGGCAATTTCAGTCCAGCAGGCTGGAGCCAATCATGGAGCAGCACAACAGAGGAAATCAGGTGTCAGGCTAGAAAAAGGTGCAAGTGTGTGGTTCATTAGGCTGCAAGAAATCATGGAGGAGCACACTGAAGCGCACGCTTACAAACCACTGGTAAGTGCTGACTACAAGTCATGACTTCAAATTGTTATATAGAATGATTACAAATTATTTGTTGTTTGTGCAGCTTAGTCAAGAGTCCCTAATTGATGAAGTCGACTCAGATTCTGACGATTTAACTGTCAAGAAGAAACCTGTAAAAAAGTATGGAAAAAGAAAAATCAAAAACACTTTTCTTCAAGACTCGGAAAGTGACGAACCAAAGGCAAATAAGATTGTTATCATGCAGCTGCAAAAGAAGAAAAATGGGGGGCGAGTATACAGCAAGAGACACTTCTGCCTCTACTGTTCAATGTCCTGCCACAAAATGTCCCGTCATTTGACTAGAAAACATGGAAATGAAAGTGACGTAGCCAGAGCATTGGCTCTACCTGTGAAATCTAAAGCACGTAAACTTCAGTTTGATTTGATCAGGAATAGTGGAAACCGTGAGCACAATTTTGAGGTTTTAAAGGCCGGCATTGGAACTTTAGTCCCAGCTAAACAGCCAAATTCCCCAGTTAAATCCAGTGAGTTTTTGCACTGTATAGACTGTGGGGCATTGCTTAAGCGAAAGTCGCTGTGGAGGCATGTGGCCAGGTGCCGGCTTTCACAGAAAGATGCCCAGGCTAAACCAGGTAGAAGTAGGGTCCAGTCCCTCTGCTCCCTAGCCCAGCCTGTACCGGAGGGCATCAGCAAAAAGCTGTGGTCTTTAATTTGGGCAATGCATCAGGATGAGGTCACGGGTGTTGTCAAAGCAGAAAAGGGGATTCTGAGACTCGGAGAGCACCTGTACTTAAAACACGGGCATGCTAAGACTACGCATGATTACATTAGGCAGAAAATGAGAGAAGTCGGTAGGTTAATTAACGAAGCAAAAACCGCAGGGAAACTGAAAACAATTAAGGATTTCTTTATTCCTTCCAACTTTAACCATGTGATTGATGCAGTCAGGTCTGTGGCTGGATATGATGAGGAAACAAATCAATACAAGACTCCATCCTTGGCCCTCAAACTCGGCCATAGCCTCAGAAAGCTAGCAGATATTCTTGAATGTGACTCAAAAATGGAGCATTGTGTTGATGAACTATTTATTAAAAACCTCCAACGAAGCCGGCTGCTTTTTGAGAAGAGGTGGGACGTCTGTGTTTCTTCTGCTGCCCTACAGACCCTCCGGCAAGCCAAGTGGAACACTCCGGACCTGCTCCCTCTGACTGAGGACGTTAGAGCCATGGACGAATATGTGCAAACCCTAATAAGTGCCAACGTCTATGCATTGGTCTAAACTGGCAGTTTTGACTCTTTGTGAGGTCATCATTTTCAATCGAAGAAGGGAAGGTGAGGTTTCAAAGATGCCCTGACAGCCTTTATGTGCAACTGGGATCCCCTGGGAGTGAGTCCCAACTTGCGTAGAAAAAGCTGTGTCAGCATTTTCAACGCATTGAAATTAAAGGGAAAAGAAGTCGGAAAGTGCCGGTTCTTTTGACTCCTGAAATGATTGCTTCGATGGAGGTGCTGGTGGAGAACAGAAGGGCCTGTTCCATCTCTGACCATAACCCATACTTCTTTTCCCGCCCGGGCGCAGACACCCACATCAGGGGATCAGACTCCCTACGCCAGGTAGCCAAAGAATGTGGTGCGGTGCATCCAGAGATGCTATCCTCAACCAAACTTAGAAAGCACATAGCTACTATGTCTACAGTTCTCAATATGAAAGAGAATGAGATGGACATACTTGCCAACTTCCTCGGCCATGACATTCGCATCCACAGGCAATATTACAGACTACCAGAGGGGACACTGGAGCTGGCCAAAATCAGCAAAGTGTTGATGGCCATGGAGCAGGGAAGAGTGACGGAATTCGAAGGAAAGAGCCTCGACCAGATACAAATTGAGCCTGAAGGTAATTCTTGATATTATTAAAATATGTATGATTTTTTTCCCCTAAAGGCCACTTGTATTTTTATTTTCTGTGCGACAGGGAGAGCAGTAGAGATCCTCTCACAAACGGACGGGCTAAAAGAAACTTCAAGCGGAGAACCTTCAACCATTCATCCAGATGCACCCCATGGTAGTGGCAGTGCCCCTTCTGGTAAGTGTACCAGGTGGGGGATTACAGCCAGGCTGCTTGGTCCTCACCCTGGGAGTGTATATTGCTAATATATTTTTATTTCTCTCCCTAGAACGTGTAAGAAAGCCATGGTCTGCATCTGAGGTGAAGGCTGTGGAGAAGACCATGACACCTTTCATACAGACTGGAAAGGTCCCTGGGAAGTCTCACTGCCTGGCCTGCATTAATGCCTCACCAGATGACCTTAGACATCGGACATGGAGTGGCATTAAATTCTATGTCAAAAATAGAATCACTGCAATTCGAAAACAAAATCTAAAATAAAATTCCTTTAAAATAGTTGTTTGGTTTCTATTGACTGTTTTGTATTACTTAAAGTCTTGGTAAAAAAAGATTATGTCTATGGGTCCCATTCTGAACGGCCCTGTCAAAGGGACCCACCAGGTAACAAAAACGTGTGTGTGTGTGTGTGTTGAAAGCTCTGGTCTCAGCAGGACTCCTCCGCTTCCATCTGGACACAGCCGCTCCTCTCCCATTCTCTCTTTCCCTCTCCCTCTCTCTCCCTTCTCTCACCCTCTCCCTCCACCTGTCCCTTTTACATAAGCACTCTTCACTTCCCGCTGCTCAAAGGTCACAGCAGCAGGAGTGACTCTCAATAAACAGCACCAACGTGTGAGTATTTTATTCAGAAAATGAAGCGTTCACATTATACACGAGGCTCAGAGTGTTAAGGCGCGTTCAGACAAAAAGCTTTTGACGCGCTTCAACTGACGCCGGGGCTCTCGGCTTCACCTGACGCGCTTCACCATTCACTTTCAATGGAAACCTGACGCTTTTGACGCCGAAGTTAAGTCCGGTGTGAACGCCCCTTTACAGCTGCGAGAGCCGGGACCAAGGCTGTCTCTGCCTCTCACATGTGCAACCGTCAACTCTGATTTTCACTGCATTTGCATACAAATCTACATCACAAAAAAAAAACACATTTCCACAGGTACTAGTCAAAAGTTTTCAATACTGTAGATCCAGGACTGAGACTGTAGATCCAGGACTGAGGCTGTAGATCCAGGACTGAGGCTGTAGATCCAAGACTGAGACTGTAGATCCAGGACTGAGACTGTAGATCCAGGACTGAGACTGTAGATCCAGGACTGAGGCTGTAGATCCAGGACTGAGACTGTAGATCCAGGACTGAGACTGTAGATCCAGGACTAAGGCTGTAGATCCAGGACTGAGACTGTAGATCCAG